CAAGGGCAACAAAGTAACACTCAGAAAGACAGAATCCTAGTCACTTACAATCTGTACTTAGAGAAAATCTACAAAGAGATCGCCAAAAGAGAACAAGCCTCCTTAATATTTAGAAGATGTCCCACTATATTTAGAATGCTAAATAATGCAAAAGACACTCCACATCAAAACAAATTAGCAGGAGTATACAGGATCCCTATAAAAGATCATAGGTGTGATAAAAGTTTAGTATACATGGGATCGACAAAAAGATCGTTGGAGGTGAGGATCAAAGAACACAAAGCGGACATCCTACATAAAAGATATTCAACAGCATTAGCACAATTTGCCACGGACCCTGATATACAAGCTGTATTTGACGAGGCAAAGGTAATTTACACCACACAGCTAATACACCATTTGCGCTGGATGGAAGCGATATATATCTATAAAACAGCAAGAGAAGACAACTGTATAAACAATAAAGATGAACTGTCCTTGTCGATGGCATGGCAAACTCTTATTTATGACACTTGAGAAGCCAAAAGCAATCCTTCTATCTACTGAGCATGCGCAAGTTTAACACGATGATTGCACGAGTTTCCTTAGAACATTGCGTTCAGATTTCGAATAACATTGATTCTACCCGTTTCACCTGAAGAAGAACTAAGTTCGAAAACGTTAGTGGAAATATTTGGAAATAAGCACTGTTTTGGTTTACTGCAGAAGTAAGATTATAATCAATGTATGTAGGAGATGAATAGATTCTATGCATTTGTTGTTATGATAACATGTTCTATGAATCTACAGTATTTGTTAGTACAGTGACATTATTAATACACTTGATCCTCACTACATAAAATGTAGTGAGGATCAAGAGAAAATATCTAGTGATTATAAATTTCTTTATTAATAAAATAACTAGAAATTGGTAGACAAATATCAAAATAATATAGTAATAAATTTAAAAATAGGAACAAAATAATATGCATTTTTCTAGAAGTCAAAACCCCTTAATAAACTGAAGATTTTTGAGATTTCAGGACATTAAAATATAAATTTTACAATTCCAAATCAGGCTGCATTATTTGGTAAAGCTGCTTCAAGCAACTTTTTTTAAAAGTAGAATTTAATTTAAAGTAGACTGCTGCAGTACTAGCAAAACAAGGTTTCGAAGTATTAAAGACAAACTTTAAGATGGCTACCCTGCACACTAAAGTGTTTTTAAATTTGTTAGACTAGGAAATATAGATGTGATTGGCTGCATATGATATAATGTCTACAACATCAGATGCATTTTGTATTGTTGCTACTAAACATTTTGATTTATATGAAAATAACATTTATAAACAGTAAAGCAGCACTAGAATTGTTTTAAAAGCAGAAATTGCTTAAAACCACCTGTAGCAACTCAATTAATACACTTTTATCAGACATTATATGTTATCAGAACTGAAATTTGAACAGTTTGTGTTCAATTTTGCATTGTGTTCTGTTTGCCAAACTATAATAAATGAATGCAAATTTCAACAGTATAGCGATATGGATATTTTGAAAGTTATACTGAATTTGACTGAACACACCTAAAAATGGATCTCGTCATTATCTCTTCTATTATAAATTAATATTCTGTTAATTTATTTGTAGTAGATTTTAATTAAATCTAATCTTGCATTATACAGTGGGTGATCGGTTAACGAACATAATCCGTTCTAAGACTTTGTTCACTATCAGAATTGTTCATTAACCGATTATTGATTTATCATAGGTTTTTATGGGAATTTGATTAATTTGTTCTGGAGACCCGAAGAAAATAAAAAATATACCCTTTCTTACTATGTTTATTAGACATGTTTTTTTCTGTTTGTGGGGGTTAAAGAATCTGTCTAATGTTGATTGCTTTTCTCTCTTCTTTAGGATTTTTCAGAAGTAATCAATAGCATTGTAATTGTAGGGATCCCTAAGCCTATTAATCTCAATCTGGTTTGGATGTCATTCTAAGACCGTTGTTCTGACATCCTCCCACTTCTTCAAAAGATGTTTAATAGCAGATATTGGCATTAATCCTCTTTTTCAGAAGAAAGCATCTCACTGAGTTTCTTGGTGTTATTCATTCAGGAGTTCTTGGCATTCTGTCATCAGATTCGTTTCAGGTTCTATTATGAGCTCTTCAATGTTCTTTATTTTTCAGATGTGATTTTTGTTACTCCTTAAGCTGCTTGAGTCTTGATTATACAGTATCTTTCTTGGATAGGATTGAACTGCAGCCTACTGTAGACCTGTTCAAGCAATACTGCCCAGCAACATCAGACATCTTCTGCTCACTCTCTATCTTCGCTATTATACTCTCACCTTTCGAAAATAAAAACCAATGCAAAACTTAACAAATGCCCGCCTGACAGTCTCACAAATACTATAAAAGAATTGTTTCTCTCAGAAAAATAAAAGACTGGAATTACAAGGGAGAGTTTCAAAGTTTGGACAATCAGTATATACCAGGTTGAGCATCGATGTCGACATCAATCCAAAAAGTTCTGAATTGTTGCCTGAAGACAAGGGAAGACCAATCAGTATTCATTATTTTACGTCACTTCTTCTTGTGTTTGTTCTGTGAGGTGTTTGTTATCGAAACGTGTGTTCATTGTCCGATCATAAAAATCTTTTGTGTAAGTGTTTATTAACTGATCACCCACTGTATTTCCTATTAAAAGTTAAAATGGATTTTTATAGTGTACAATTAAAAATATTTATTTAAATATAAAACATTTTGAACATTAAAACAATTTTAAAAGCTCAAAAAATCTATTCAAACATCTTATTTAATATTTGTGAAGAGTTTATTTATTTATTTTATAATTCTAGATTGTATTTTATGCTGATTTTCTCTTGGCATTTTACTATAAATATTTAAAATTAGTTGAATATCATTCAAACAAAACTATCGAAAATTATTGCATACTTAATAAGTGAATTATTAATATTCTATTTTATATAAATGAATATAAAATTGTAGTTTTATTAAGATAAATTAAATTTTTATTCTTTCAGTCTCTGTCATAATCAATGGGGATACATAACTCTTTATAATCAGTCAAAACCACCTGGATTTTCATATCACAAATTATATTTAATCTTAGATGAAGGAACAGTTACATTTAATGCAGATGCTTTTATGGTAAGTGTAATTATCATTCATACTAGTATGATTAAATTAGTAAAAAGCTCAACTTAACTGCTTTCATATAGTTTTGCTTAGAATATTCATTAATAATTAATTAAAGTTACAAATTTATTAATAAATGGCTTATTTATATAATACTAATGTTAATTAAAGTGATATATTTAGTTCTACACCATCCATTTATATCTAGTTCAGCATTTGTTCCTCTCCATTCTTTCTAATTGTTCTTAGTAAACCTTTACTCATCCTTATGGTATTAGTATTAATAACTCTCCCAATGATACTTTCATTATGTATCCAGATAAAGTTATCATCCATTTCATGATTTGGCTCATTAATTTTCTCTTTTTACTCCCTCTTCTCAATACCATTTATTATCCCATTTACATGCTTATCCTTTCTGTCCTATACATGTGTCAAATGCCTCAATTATCATTATTTTCTTTTAATTCAATGTCAATATATGTTATATAAAACTTTTAATTTTAAACTTTTACAAATTATTACAGGGCATGAATTACTTTGTAAAAAATGGATTAGTGTATGATGGTGCTTTAGAGATAGCAAAGTTTCTTCATAACACAAGATCTTTAAATCCTAGACAAATGAGACTATACTTAGACGTCAGGTAAATATTATAAGTTTTTATATTATGTGATATCAAATGGTTATTATGAGAGATAATTTAACTTCTAAATTTCCTATTTCAATCAGAATGTGGTCATAAAATGTCTTGTTAGACATATATTGGATACTTTCTATTCATTTGATTATTACATAAACTATTAACAATGATATAACTATTAAAAATGATTTATTTTATTGTTATTTTGTCTTTACTCCTATATTTTAATTAGCAGCAAAGACATTACTATGATCCCTTCATGTTCATGACTAATTGGACCAAGTAACTCTTTATGAATGTCAAACTCTTGAACTTTTAGTTTTATTTTTAATGTGTAAATTATAATTTGTTTCAAGATATTATGTATTATTTCTGTTTTAAAAAATTTTCAGAATGGACGATTTTATTAAATAAACATATTGTGCAATGGTTTATAATGCTGCGAAAGTCATTTTACTTAAGCTAAAAGGAAAACTTTCGCCACATTACATATATAGAAATTAAATTAATTTCTTTAATTTTTTCATATTACATTCTGCATGATTCTGTTGATGTTGAAAGTTGCTTGTCTTCTGAAATTTAGAAAAAACAAAAGATTTTAATGGAACATGAATGTCGGTGGAAGAAGATTAAGGTGGCGGTGGTTTAAAATATATCTCTAGTTTTGTTTGTTTCTTTTTTTTTGTTCAAGATCTTCAAGTTCTGTTTTCATTTGGAAGGCAGGCTGACTGTAAGGTATTTCAAAATTTAGAAGTTCTTTTTTGCTCTGGGTCCTTGTTACAGATTACTTTAATTTGACATAGCATGAAATGGATCAGACAATAACAAAATGACACAACAATTATGATAAACAAAACAGTAATGTAACTTATGACAGGTGTTCCATATGAATGTGAGTGCAGTGACCTTTTAGCATTCTGCCTGTATGAACATCCAGGTTGTGTTGCATCAGCTCTGGTTTACAGTAATACATAATCTCTTATTTCTCAAAAGATAGAAACCTTTTATGAATGTTGAAATTTTGGTGCATAAATTTCTGATCACAAAATATTAAATTCTCAAACACTGATGATGTCCACAAACATTGAGGTGTAGTGTAGTAATGTTGAGGCACTTATAAAAATAGTTTAGATTTAAGTTTTGAGTTAGATTTTATTTTGTTATCATGTAGCTGAAATCATTTATTTTATTATTATTGTTTAATAAAGATTATCTACTTCCAAATTACTATCTGGAGATGGTTTAAACTATGCTTAGCCAACAAGATGGCTGCAATCTATCAATTGATTACAGTATCAATTTTGGTTCATTGCAGCTATTATAGCCTGTTAAAACATTAAAAATATTTATAATTTTTTATGAGAATATTATTTATTTATTTTCCATGCAGAATTTTTTTAAAAATACCTCTTGGGTTTTGCAGAACTATTATATAACATCTGGTTATCCTTTTTTTCTGATGTAATATATTGAGGATCTTAGATATAGATATTAAATAAGGAACATCAGAAAATGGAATTTCCTCTTTGAACAGATGATCATAGCTAAGTTATGCATTTATTTTAGAAATGTATTTTGTATCTTTATCAATTTCAGTTTTATGCAAAAATGAGTATATTAAAGAAGAGTAAAATTTATCATTTCCGCAATGAAAGTCAAAAAGATAAATGTGGCTATTCAATTTACAATATAATGCTTTAGTATCTTTACAAAAAGAGAAAAGCTAAGATAAAGGTGTGCCGTCACAATGCAATATGTAAATATAACTACATTTTGCAGCATAATTTTATTTTACAGTATAAAACTGACTAACCTAATAAACATTGGAATAAAAGTTTAGTGATCAATCATTTGTACTTCAGACATAAAAACAGACCTAGCCCCATTATATGTTGGCCATGGTCTAAACCAGGGGTGGCCAACAGCTTTTGCCCCAGGGCGGAATTGGAAAGAAAACTTTTTTCACAGGCCGAACCAGAGGCTGCCTAGGAAGATTTTCAGGTAGTGCAAAATCTCATTGTGGTGTCTCCCCATAGAGACTGAATTGTAGATAGATATTACAGATACATTTTTCACATTATCAACATTCTTTGCTGTATTTACGACAAGATTTGTAGTTGAGGGTTAACTATAAATGCATAGTGAGTTGTTGATTTTTTTTAGGCATCAGAATTTTTCATCGAGCTATTCGGACTTCAGTACCTAATATTGAAAGATTGATTGAGGGCCGTGTGTTGACCATGCCTGGTCTAAACCAAAGGTGATGAACTTGAAGCTTTCAGGCTACATACAGCTTTTTGTGGCTTCTATTATAGCCTGATAACAATATATGAGGGCAGCTTTTTCAACCTCCAATTGTCCATAAAACAAAGACAAGTATAAATAACAATGAACTTATCACCAAAAGTTAGGTACAAACGTAGTTACTTTTCGACATAATCACCATGAAGATTGACACATTTGTCATATCTGTGGATGAGCTTTGCAATCTCCTCTTCATAGAATGTTGCCACCAGTGACTTGAGATGAGCCTTAACATTGTTTTGAAGATTGTCATTAGTCTTGAGCCTCTACCCTCCTAGCCACATTTCAATTCAGGAAAGAGATGAAGCCTTCACACATTAAACGTGTGAAGACTTCCACCCAGCTTGGAACTTTTTAAGCATCCAGCATATAACCCCAATTTAGCGCCGAGTGATTTCTATCTCTTTCCTGAATTGAAACGTGGCTAGGAGGGCAGAAGCTTGAGACTAATGATAATCTTCAACACAATGTTCAACACAATGCCCATCTCAAGTCACTGGCGACAACATTCTATGAAGAGGGAATTGCAAAGCTCGTCCACAGATATGACAAATGCCTCAATCTTCATGGTGATTATGTCGAAAAGTAACCATGTTTGTACCTAACTTTTGGTAATAAATTCATTTTGTCATTTACACTTGTCTTTGTTTTATGGACTTCCAGAGGTTGAAAAAAAATAGCCTACATAAAATGAAGGAGGTTAATTTTGCTGTCACAAATTTTGAATTACAAAAGTATGTTTTTATGTTCCTTTTTTTCGATAAAGCCATTTATCTGTGTACAGTTTATATATATTTTTGGTGCATGAATATTTGATGTATGTATTTAGGCAACTGCTACTGTATACAATGTGGTTTCTATATAATGAGATGTGATTTTTCAAAGTTTCCCATCTTGCTATGTCTCAGACTAAATCTTATTTCAATTATCTGTTTAAAATACAATAAAACTTCAATTTAACAGACTAATTCAGATGAAAGCCAAAAGTCCATTATATAATAAAATAGGTTTTCTGAATGTGTATGTTGAACTAACTACACAATTTGTCAATTTTTTTATCTGTTTTTACTTCTGCAGATACATTTGTATAATTAAAATCAAGTTCATATGAGAAAATTTTGCATGATCCCCATATAATGAGGATCATGCAAAATTTAAATAAAATAGGTATACAAATAAAATAATTTACTAATAACAAATCATAAAACAATTTATTCAAAAAACAATTCTTTGATATAAATATTATTTTCTCATTTATTACTATTTATTAAAGACAAAAGCAAATTTGCATACTAAAGAGATGGATGTACTTGTTTACTTTTACATAAAGAATTAAATCTTCACTGAATATTTGATATTGTAGGACACGGGGTACCTTTAATGTTTTTACAGAGTTAACCAACATTTTGATTTTGTAATCACCAATGCTGGAAATGTCCCTTTGCATAAATAAGTAGTACAAAATTTTACTGTTGTGAAATTTTTCACATTTCCCATATTTGGTTATGCTTTCCCAAAACGGGGTCATAACACACAGTTTAAGAAGATTGTCTTAGATAATGATGGTATAATGCAAACATTTTTCTCAACTATCATTAGCACTACCTATCCACATAGTAATTAACTTGGTTTTGACCTATCAAGACTTGTAGCAGAATCCATCAAACTAACCAAACAATTGCTTAAATAGTTGTCAAGAAATTTGCTTTATTTACCATTATTTCCTGTATATTTTGTAGCTACAGTATTATTGTTTTGAATATTTAAATGACACTCTGTTTAATAAAAGTGGAAAAACTTATTATGAGAGAGAGATATACTTTATAAATAAATAAATTCTGTTACATTGTACAGTTGAATTCCATTTTTACATTTCTCAGTTATGTATTTTTTGCAATTACACATTAAAAATTTTCTGCAGTATTTTCTCCATTATAACACTTGAGTTATGTCTTTTTCATTTATATGATTTTGCACTTATACATTGTATTTTTCAAGGTGCTACAGCACTTTTTTCTCAATTAAGCATTATTTTCAATGAAATGGAAAAATTTTAAGTGCTTTGTTTCATTTGAGTAAAATTAAAGAAAGCAAAGAAAAAAAGCAAATCATTTTATTTCATTATATATTCACTTAAATTTAGTTCACACTGACAGTGAATTGCTAGCAAATGCAAAAAGCAGAGTGAATAAATGTACAGTTTGTTTCAGGAATCTTGATCAGACTTTAAAAATGTGCAGTAGCAGGGAGCAGTCTATTTAGTAAAGGAAGCAAATTGTCAAATAAGGTCACTGTTTGTTACCTAAAAGGTATCTTAAATTTACCAAACTTCCAGAGCCCTAATTGAATAACATATTGCCTAGCCAAGACGTAAAATAATCTGTACCATATGACACCATTTGTGACAAATTTTCATATTTTGCAAATTGCTCCACCAGTTTAAAAGTTTCATTATCAAAGGTCATTGCATTTGGCTTCAAAATATTTATTTTAATCTTTAACGTGATATGGGTGCTGTATATTTTATATATATATATGAAGTCACTTTAATCCAAAAACTTTTTGGTTGACAGTCTCACAGCACTTCCTGTTGAAAAATTAAGACTTTATTGCACAAATTGAACGAGTGTTATACAAATGCATTTTGGGTTGTTGTAAATTTACAACCCCTCTTCAGTGCTGTTAAAAAAACAACAGCACA